CCCCCCCTCCCGCCATGGCGTGCGCGTATACAACAGATGCGCATGGTAATTGCAAATATTTTAAAGTGCCATATAACCACGCCGCGCCGCCGCCTTGATTTTCCCCCGGGAAGGAACGGTAATCATCACCCGCCGTCGCGTCCTGCTATGATGATGCCAGCCCAGCTTCGCGTATAGATCGCGTGAAACTTACCGAGAAACAGTGGCGGGCTGAGGCACGTCTGGTCTGAGGCCACCAGCGCGCGCATGGCCGCCTTCACGGCCTCGTCGGGCCTGGAGCACGTGTCTAGGATGCGGCAGCCTGGAGAGTAGCGGAGCAGAGCGGAGAGTGAGGAAGTTGGCCGAAGGGGGGCACAATCATAAACACTTTGAAGGCAATTGAAAATTTATTTTTCGTGTGTCTCTTTTTTGCTGCTTCTGCTGCCGTTTGTGCTAAAAGACATTGTGGAGGTCGGGGTTGGGAAAATGTGACCCACACAGTAAAGTTTTTCGGCCGTTTTCTTTTGTTTGTTTTTTTGCTTTGTTTTTCATGGCGGCTACATTTCGACCATATAATCATTTACTGGCCCCTCATGTTTGAGCACAAAGTTCCCCTCGCGCCATGACTCGCGACTCGAGCAGGCCGCCGCCGCCGGCCGTTCCTCCCGCGACCCCGCGGGCCTCTCTCCTCTCCATCAATCACCGAGCTCTGCCTCGGCTCTGCCGGACGGGACGGGACGGACGGGCCACTGCGCTGGATCATTCGAATCAGCGCGCCCCGGCCCCGCCCCACCCGCCGCGGGTCTATTACAGAGAAAACAACAAATTTGTCGTAGATACCGTTCCTGCACTGCAACACGACACGACAGAACAAAAGCAAAAACGCTTTGCAACGTCGTCGTCGCACGCGCGTGCGTGCCCCGCACCCGCGCCTCCCGAGCCCCTGGCAGAGGGCGGGTAGGCCACGCCGTCCGGCAGCCGTGCGTGACGGGACGGCCCACCCGTCCCCTGCCAGGCGCTAGCGTAGGCAACGCGCCCAACATAAGCTGAGGTGAACGAAGATATGAAAGCAATCATACACTGTGCACGGTAAAAACAATTCCTTAATTTGTTAAGGAAAAGGGGAAAACTTTGAAGAACTCTCCTGGTTTGACGAAAGCGCGAAAACCCCTCGTATTTCGAGAAAGTCTCCTCAAAAAATGTGAGATTTTTCCTCAGTTTTTGAGAAGATTCCTGAAAATCTGAGGCGAGATTGGAGGACGCTTTCTCAAAGTTTTCCCTTTCCCCTCAAAAAATGAGGCATCGTTTTTACCTTGTGGAAAATAATAGTTTAAAGCAAGGTCACGCGGGACTATTTTCCACTATATGCCGTAAAATTACAATTTAAAATTGAAAATTTACCAGCACTGAGCATCGACTTGGATATCAACAAGCTGAAGAATGGACTGTCGCAAATTCACAACATATTTTGCAAATGATAGGAGAGGCCTATATTTTTTTAAATAGTTAGAGAGAGAGAGAGAGAGAGAGAGAGAGAGAGAGAGAGAGAGAGAGAGAGAGAGATTAATGTGTGGTCAGTAAACACTTGTCGCACTTACTGATGGAGATGCCCTCGCGGCGCAGGTCCCTGTTGACGCGGTCCAGCGCGGCCCTGAGCGCAGCCTCGAGCTGCGCGCCCCTCAGGGACGCGGCGCCGCAGCCCGCGCCCCGGTGCAGCGGCAGCAGCGCGCCCAGCAGCGCCTCGCCGTCGCGCGCCTGTCCGCACTGCGTGAGCGGCCCGCGCGCCGCGCCCGCGCACCCGCACACCAGCGCCACCAGCACCAGCCACATCCTGCGAGCACAAGGGTTGAAAGTCTAAGAAACTTGCCGAGAGAAAATAATTACGAATTTTTCCGGAAAAAACAACCTTGTCGATCATGCACTGCACAAGGAGGTGGCAGTGGCACGCGGCCAGGACCATTTGGCAGGTTCAGCTTAGTGCCGCTGACCACTCTATGGTCAGTATTTCATGTTGAATCACAATAAGCGGCTCTCAATGCTGGAAACTGTCAGTGTGTCTGTCATGTCATGGAATTCCACTAGTCGGTGGTTCTCAGGCACCGTTTGCACTACCCAGGGGCGGCTTTCGGAGGTCCCTATTGTTTCGATACCAAAGGGCATGCAACCCCCCTCCCCTCCCCCCGTTCAACCCCATGGGCCACTGGTATAATGCAAGCAGTTTGGTCGAGTTTGCCGTACTTTGTGAAAGTTTTGCGTTCATTCTAACGAAGGTCTTCAGGGGGTCGCTCGCAACAGGCTGGAACAGGTGGTTGATACCCCACCCATTCTCGCAGTAATACTACTGTACCGTATGCGCGCGTGTGGGCAGGTTGCCGATTCGCTCGGGGCCTTAAGGCACCGTGGTCCGCGCACTGTTGTATATCCCCACTAAAGTTTGCAAGTTGCGTAGCATTTGGTGGCTATGTAATACAACGGATTTTCTTCGTATTGCAAAAGCTTCCAAATCCTGACTACAAAGCAGGAAAGCAGCAAAGCATTGCTATGCAAGTTTTTACCTACGTGCGACGATGGGCAAAGCCACCGGCACACCTGCCTGTCCGCAATACAGTATAACAAACGGGGTCAGCCACCTAGCACATTGTAACAGGGGTGGATGGGGGTGCACTGAGAAAAGCGGTTTGTCCTAAAAACTAAAAAAGGGTTGAATCAAAGAAAATTTACTCGCTCAAGCAAAACATTTGATCAAGAATTCGAAAATAAATATGACCAGGTCGATCACACCTTTATCACCATGACTAAATCACGTGATCAGGGCGACCAAATTTGTCTTACGCAAGTAAATCTATTTCCTGCTGAGTTTTTCTACCCTCAGCAATTCGCCTAAAGAGCTATACCAGCGTTGACTCGCGACTCGCGAACACGAAGAGACCCCGTCTATTGTCTAGCTGAATAAAACAAGATTTATCTCCTCCTGAGCTGTTGTCAACAAAGCGCAATTGCGTCAAGCTCCTTGGCCCCCACTTTGCTCTTCTGACTCGGGGAGTCCTCCTCGATCCTTTACAAAAGACGCTATTTTATTATTATTATTTTCGCATCGCCTCTCCATCATCAACCAATACTTTCCCCTCCCCCTCCCCCTTTTCTGGAGACCATTCAACAAGCCTCGGTCTCGGCCTGGCCGGCTGCTTGTACTTATTCTCTGGACCATCACAAACCTTTTTTCCACCTCACAATACGACCGCTGATGTAGAAACGCAAATCCTCTTTCTTCTTTACCGTGCGTACTGATCTGACTAAGCTCCGGCGCGGGCACCCGGCCAGCGCCAGCAGCAGGCGGGGGGGCCGCAGGACCCACTCGACAGGACCCACCTGCGGGCCCGGCCCTGCGGTGGGCCTGCGGGCCAATAGGATGACGACCCTATTCGTGCTGTAAGCCGCGTGTTGTTTCGCGAGTCGCCCCTTTATCCGGCGGATCACACACCTCCACACGGCTATACCCCCACCTCCCCTCTCCTCCCCGCCGCTGGCCCCACACCCCCCAAAGGCCATCCCTTTTCGCTTCTTTTGCACCCCCTACCTCCTGGCACCCCGGGCGTGTGTTCTACATTAACGGCCTCTGTCAAATCGAATGTCACGAATCGAATTATCGCATACCGATGGCCAACCTTTGTGGACGAATAACTAATAATCACGACTGCAGACAAGGCTTTATATTGCGATCCAAAATAAAATAAAATGTGATGTGCTTTTGAATTGAATTACGTGTGTTGGTTTGGCTCAGGTATTTCAAGTCTGGCGGCCCAGCTTACTTTCTCTTCACACATTTAAATGATTTATCGTTATGTATATGGATGAAAAGTGATCTGGGGAAACACCAGAAATTACGGCCTACGTCAGTACCTGCAAATCCCATACTCGCACAGTGGAGAAAGGAAAGGCCAGTTTGTTCGTCCTCACCTGCCGCTGTTGTTGTTGCTGCTAATGTTGTTGTTGTGCGCCTCCAGCTTACGTTTACAACGACGTTGGCCCATATCTCACTGGACCAGCCGCACGACCATGCCGCGAGGACGCCCTCCTTCACCCGGTTGGGCGCATCACTGCTGTACCACAGGCACACACACACACTGTTCCAGCCACCACACCACTGCACCGAAGTCCGCGCGCACTCGGTTGTGTTTCACTGCACTCGCCGCATGGACAGACACATTTCTCTCCAGACACGACACAACTGCTTCGTTTTCCACACCGTCGCCCCAGCACCACCACCACCACTATGTCACGGAAGCTCCCGCGCGTCGGACGCGGGTCGTCGTCGTCGAGAACCTCCTCCCTCGCGGCGCAAAACGGCCGTCGTCACCTCGCCCTGGCCCAGGCTGGCGTCACTGGTGCCGCGCGGCGCCGTGCAGGTAGGCAGCGCGCCTTGACAGCCCGGCCGGCAGTGGGCCCCGCGCCGCACGCCGCCGCTGGCCCCCGCAGCAAGGGCCACCCGTGGGGCTTCCCTGCTGCTAATCACATTCCCATTGGGCGGGCCCGGGCAGCGCGGCGGTATGGGCATATCAAAGTATACTGAGCAGCGAACCGACTGCAGGGCCAAAGTCTTAGTTCACTTAGTGCTCCGCACCCACTGTTATTTAAGGAATGTGACGTCACACTCGTTTCAATGTGAAACGTGTCACATTCGTTTGAATATTGTGTCACATTCATTTAAACGTGACATCAGGTGAATTGATGCTCTAATGGCGCCAGGCTTGGCCGATTCACGTTCAAACGAATATGACACAACATTCAAATGAACGTGACACGATTCACATTGGAACGAATATGACGTCACATTCGTTATTGAATAACAGTGCCACTGTGGGAAATATGTGTCCCCATCACTGTGAACTAGTTGTGGTGTCTTGTGACGTCAAAATACTGGCGTTCTTTCAAGGACTCCAATTCTTATTGGCGTCTCAAAGACCCCCGAGAAGAAGAACGTCAACATTTCGATGAATCCATGGGACAAAGGCGGCGCTGAACAGAAAGACGCATCAGAACAGGGTCGTTTAACAAACAACGGATCTGCTTTCCGCTGAACTTGGCATGCTAGGCTTTGGTGACCTCTCACTCTTCTTAGAGATGGCGCATGGCGTTGGGAGTTGGATCTTTTTACGCATGATATACTAGATGCTGACAATTAAAATGGAATCCCTCCAAAAACAGTACAACTTTTCTTTGACGAGTGAGGGGTCTCCAAAGTACGACCCGGTCCGACAATTTTGTCAAGTGACTTCTATAAAGTTGCGCTGAAATGTCTTTGTACCGTGATGGTAGAGTTCTTCATTGTCACTGTAGATTTTTAATAAAGAAGTGAGTACTCGAAAAACAAAAAGAAAAATCTCTCGTTCCTCGTCTATGAAAACGTACCATCCTGCCTGCCTACTTCAAAAGCCAGAGCAAAACATCATGAAGTTTGCTCACCGAAATTTCATAGAAGCTGTTTACGCGGACTCAACAGGCCCAGCCTGGCTTAGGTCAGCCAAACACCACGGAAAGCTGACTGAAAATATCGATGGAGAGGGGGCGAAGATGCTTTCCTTTCAATATAAGCGTTTTTTAGTGGCAGTAGCAGTAGCCGGGGGTGAGCCTGAACGATGATGAAGGGGTGGTCGGGGTGGGTTGGTGGCGGGCCGGGAGCGGCCTGGGGGCAGGGCAGGGGTTAGTGGGCGGCCTAAGGCCGGGGGCGGACCGAGGCGGGCTGCGAGGGGAAGGCGGGCCGAAGAAATGCGAGGAAGCTCATTGGGAGGTCACCTTCCTTCGTGTCGAACACGGCCGTAAAGTGAGCGGGAGCGGACTGGCCATCGGGCGCGGCAGGGCGCGGCAGGGCGCGGCCATGCGCTATGCACGCGGCCCTTCGCCACCCGCCCGGCGCCAGGTCCCCGGTGGTCGGCGCTCGCCGGCCGTGGCGGGTACGGGCCGTCACTTTGCCGCCTCCTTGGAAACGATCGCACGTCTTTGTGTGATGCTAACCACAGAGAGGCACGGCGCGGGCGTCTCCTCCTTGGAGCACGCCATGTCCGGCAGCATGCACACCGACGGACACGCACGCACACTCCCTCTCACTCCCACCGCGTTCTGCCCGTCTCCCTTTGCGCGCCGAAGCGCACTAAGTGCACTCTACTCCCGTGGCCACCCGAAGCCCCATACCAATACTGACTAGAAGGCTGCGCCCTTCCCCTCCCGCCCACTTCCTCCCTCAATCCACCCCTTTCGCTATCACACACGGTCACCCAAAGCGTCAAAGGGTCAACGGAGGGTGATCAGGGAAATAAGGCCAGCTATGGTGGCGTGTTACCTTCGTGTGGCGTTGTCGGACAAAGGTCACGAAGTTTATGTGCTCTCCTTTCGAATCATCGAGATGGCCTTTTACGGAAGACGCAGAGCAACGGACCCAGAAAAACGGACAGCTTTAGCAAGCAACCACCGCACGGTTACTTCAAGCACAGCCAATGAAGTGATGATTTAGGCAACATTAAACATGTACGAGAGAACTATAATCTATGTCTGTCCCTGACAACAATTGTATAATCGTTTACTTTGTAACCCAGATTATGGTTGTCTCTGAAGTAAGGTGGTGGCTAGATCTCTCCACCTCGCTGGGTGTGACATTTAACTTGACTTATAATGCCGCCCCTGGAGGGCAGGGGCGTGCGTGAGAAACCATTACACCTAGGTGGTGGCGCTACGCGATGTGCTACACCCTCTAGCCCTCTCGAGCCGCACCCCCAAATCTTTCCCCGCCGCTCATCCTCGCGGCCTCGGGCCCCGGCGGCGCGCTCCCTGTGCGGCGGCGGCGGAACCGCTGACGTGAGGCTTGGCCTGCTGAATAATTCTCTTGAAGTGGTGATGGCTGATCAAGGGGTGGGGGCGGGGGGCGGGGAGATCAGATCGGAGCTCTGCGGAGCGAAGGGGTCCATGGTTGGCAATGACCACCCCTGAGAGACGGACGGACCGGTGAGGCGAGGGAAGGGGGTGAGGGTGTAAGCAATTCGTGTGTTTGTCCCTTCGAATCCGAAACGAACGGCGTGGAGTTCGATACGAAGCGTGTCAAGGAAAAAAGAACCCGAATAATTTGACCCTTTGATATATACGGCACGCTACGCTGCAGGGCTTCCGTCTGTTACTGTCACTCAGTAAAGACGAACATGCTGACTGGGTAACTGCCACCGTCCGACGTTTCTGTGCCACAGGCTCCGTTCGTGTTAGTATAGTATTACAAACTGTCATTATGAGCATGCGAGTCGATTTTCGTGTTTCGCGTTGCGCGGCGTTGACGTGTGAACTTGTGGTGCTTGGAGTGGGGCGGCGCGGGGCGGGCGGGGTGGCGCGGTGTGGGTGGTGGTTGCACGGAGTGGCGGGGTGGTGGTGAGGAGTGTACCGGGCGCTGGTGTTGTAGGTGCGGGATTATCACGACTGTTCTTCTCCCCCTCCCCCCTCCCGACCTGGCCTCGCCCCCGGGACATGTTCGCTGGCGCGCTTGCTTTGGTAGCAGATGGACTTGATCCCTATGAAGGGCAAGGCCGAAGGGTTGGTGTCAGGGCTGGGGTAGCGCGGCCGACCTGCCAGCCGACCCAGTGCCGGCTGGTGTGTACTGGTGCGACCTACAAGCAAACCACCGCCCCCCCCCTCCCCTTTTCCCATCCTCCTCTCCTGCCTCCCCTTCGCCCCTTTCCCGCCACAACGACATCACCGTGTGCACAATTAGAGTAACTAGAGGACAATCGGGCCGCTTGATCACTTCCTTATTAACTTGGGGCCACAACCAACTGGACCCTGGGGGGCCCATAGGGAGAGGGGGGGGGGGGCGCTCGCCTAACCCGGTGTATCCTCGGCTCGCGTGTCGTGTCTCTACGAAACATCTCCGCGCACTAGTGCACAAGTGCACTTCGCAGAGTCGTGTCATGTGTGTCACACCACCCTATCGAATCTTTTCGGCCCTGGAAAAAGAAAGGATCTATTTCCTCGTCCAGTAATAGTAATACTACCTCTGCGGGGGTCTTTCGCGATTATTTCACCTCCTACTTCGCACTCTTTCACTTCAAGCGTTCGAACTTATATTTCGCAAATGATTCTCCCCCTTGGCCTGATACGACATTTTTCGACTAATCATCCGATTTGCAAGGCGCCAAGATGGCGAGTGAAACAGAAAAATACCTAGCCGTGCAATTGCAATGCAGCTGTATGATGGATGTCGTGTTGAACGTGCTCTCGTTTGGGAGGCCGGGCCGCGCCGCTGGGCTGCCCCCGCAGGCGACACGACACACGACGCGCTCTGATATATTCAACCACATCAACAACTTTCCAATCCGTTTAGGGCGGCAGCCCCTCTCTCTGCGGCAGCCGCCTGGCCAGCCCTCTGGCACGCACGCTGCATAATGCGCTTAGGGGTCCCTGCCCTTACGGGCCAAGGGCTGCCAGCCAAGGGCCTCGCGCAGCTGCATGCGTAAGACCACACACCGGAAGGTGTGCAGGTGAGTGAAAAAGATTCACACGCCTGCAGGTGTGTGACAAAAGTGTTCACATGAAATTCTCACACCTAAAAAGGTCGTCACTAAATCTCTCCCAGTAACGACCAGTAGTCTACAGGTGTGTGTGAATGTTTGTTCGTGCTCCTGCATAGGTGTCGTGCGACATTTTTAGACTAGGATATCCCGTGCGCAGGCCCGGCAACAACTTTGTTGTTACCAAAACGATATGTTGTCGTTACGGAAAGAAATGTTATTGTTTGAGCGGAGGCTGAGCACGGGAGGTGTTTCCGGGGCGGACGCAGGGCCGGGCGGCGCCGGGCGCCAGCAGGCCCAGCCATGCGTAAGGCGCGGCGGACACCAAGGCCGGAGGAGACAATAAGAAAATGTGTGCCGGGCGCGTCGTGTATGAGATGTGGCGGAGCGGTGACGGGCTGAGGACAGGGCCGCGTCCACCAAGAAGGCTATGGGTGCTGCCGGCGATCGACATCGCTACACTCTGGAAAAGGACAACTTTGTATTCAGTGAGCATGCGTTTCTTGTGAAGACCATCTCAAAAAGACGCAAATTTGTACCTGAAAAGAGACAAATTTGTTCTATTTATTTGAGATGTGCTGGTTACAAGATTTTCGTTTCCCATTTAGATTATCTGACATTGGATCACTTTTTACTCCTTTTACTCACATGCGACGGAGGCCTCGAAACGTCTTGCATTCCTCCCGACTCCATGGGATACTAGGCCAGCGAGCTTACAAGAATAATGCAAAGGCAGAATGTAAAATTATCGCAAAGAGGTGGCCGCGATCACAAGATGTAATCTCAATTTGTCCCGGTCGCATTGACCTCGTTTACCGATAAATGCCAGGAAGGCGAGCAAAGTCAGTGGAGTTGGCTTTGCCCGCGCACTGAAAGGAAAGGGGGTTCCGCCTCGAGACGGTCGGATCCTCCCAGA